CAACGAGCAGTTGTAGCTCCAGCCGAATCGAGTAGCTGCACCACTTGCTGCACCGCTTGCTGTTGCTGCTGCTGCAACTGCTGTGAATCGCGGGAGGATCGCTCTAGGCTGTGTCAGCTCTGCACCGCTTCACTCGTGCTGCCCAGCTGTGTGGGCGCCATACGCGCGCTGCAATGCAACATTCTGCAGCAATCTGCAGCAGCAACGACTCAGAGACAACACCGGCAACAACCAGTCAAMCATARCTGCTGCCAAACGGGCAGCCACTGGCTTCCAGCCTCGGAATCCTTAGCCAGACACAGATTGCAAATCGTTGCCAAAACACGTTGTTGTTGTTAATATAAATATTTGTAAGCATAGTTAAATTTAATCTAAATATTATTTATAATAAATCACAAAGAAACATATATATATGAATGTATATAAAGAAACAACAAACAACAACACAAAGATGATGTAATTGAGTGATATGCAAAGTCTGCATCGCTATTGCTCGTCTCTTTCTGTTTACAGTTCCCAAATTATATTCAATTTTGTCGTGATTGGCTGCAGTGTCCGGCTTGTGATAGTATTAGTAAAATTAATATCCATTTGAGTTTGCGTTCTAGTTGCACGCCTGCCATTTATGAGGGAGAGAGAGAGAGACAAATAGAGATGTCACTAAACGTCGTCTCTGGCGTTGCTGAGTGAGAACGAGATAGCTACTTAGGTCCTTCGAACATGGTCGCTGTGTTTTCAATGGAAGAAGGCAACCAGACGCAATATGGCGAGCCTTAAAGTGAAGATATAAAGGACAGCACAACAAGGAAACATTTTAAATATATCCAATTAGAGCGGAAGGCGATGAAACAAAAAATCATATATATCAATATATTTTATATCATTTGCTATAAAGCTCATACATTTTATGTAGCACATTCCACAATTTCGCTGCGTGGCTCATACCCGGAACTTTGATGATTATTGCCTTCTATGAATCATGCTGTTCTTCTATAGTATTGGCTTTTTTATGCCCACCTGTCTGCCAAAGCGGCTAACAGAGCAGAGCTTCCAAAAGCAACTGGAACAACATTTAAAAACATCGAATAAAATTGTTTCCTAGTATCATTAAAAATAGATCTAAGACTTCAATATTTGTATGTTCACATATTTCACATTAATATTTTGTTCGCTTCACGCAGTGAATTCATATTTCTAGCTCCAACATTTCGACTTCCTTGAACAAAAATAAATTCAAATACCAAAATATTCCGTTTAGCAATTGTTTTTTTTATTCCAAAAAAAAGGTGAGTCAACACGGTGAATGCATCATTTACAGGTATGTTGTGTAGGCAGCGGTGTAGGGATAGCTGTAGGGATAAGCGAGGGGCGCGGTATAGGCGGCGCTGGCAACGGGAGCAGCAGCAATCGGGGCGGTGTAGGCGGCGGCAACGGGAGCGGCGGCGGCAGCAACAATGGGCGCGGCAGCGATGCCATTGAAATTGCGTGCCACATACTGCGAGCTGGTGGCAGTGACGACAGCAGGAGCCGCATCCACAAGCACCGCAGGTTTCGCCTCAGCCAGGCTGCAGGCGAGCACAGCGCAGAGCACGAAAAGGGCAGCAGACTGCAAAGRAAACCCAATTAGAATTTAGCGAAAACAGACTTCAATCAAAAAACGCACCAGKTTGAACATGTTGAAATGTTTGGTTAGAGCTATCAAAGTAGACTATGCCAGAGAGTACTACGATTGCAGTTTTATAGCCGCCGCAATATGCGATGTGGATGTGGATGTGGATGAATTCTACACGAAATATAATTAGAAGCAATACAAATTATAAAAGACGAGCCGAGCGCCTGGCTACGTGCCCAGCCAAAAGCAGCTGGAAAGGTCTTTTGCTTTGGGTATGTCGAGCACGTCGCCAAAATGTGAGACCATAAAAAGTTTTGAAGGCAGCCACCAAAAAAAAAAAAAAAAAAAAAAACAAGCGTTGAACATCTATATTTTATATGGATATATACGAAACAGTAGCTGTTCCGATTCAAATTTATGCGTTCAGTTAACTGACCTGCCCTTGTGAGCACGAACCGACCGAAGAGCATTTGGCTGACTTTGTGGCTTGTGCCCTGAGGCATGTGGCATGTGGCATGCAGTGAATCGGATTGCGTATGCTCACTCGATTCAAGGTCAAGCGCTGACTCTGCAATTTAGTTATGCAATCAGTCAATACACTTTTAATCCGTGTTGYAGCATTGCCGACTGCACCCATCGTGGCATCCACACAATGGCCATGCCACATGGGCCTACGATATCTTTGCATATAATATTTTACAAAACTTTTCGTAATCGCAAACAAATATAACAAAAAGAATAAAAGCAAAGCCCAGGCCGACATTTCTTATCACTTGCAAGCTCGGAGAAGTAACTCGAATATCCATACTCCAGATTGAGCAGGCGCGACTACAACATACCCTCTACATTAAACTTCGATATGCAGAAATATTATATATTCAGTAATTAGGCAAGCATTTCGAATAGAGTAAATCTGGCTAAGCTTACTCTGGGAAAAGTTCTTAAGTCAGATAACTTGAGCTGGAAATTTTGTATGTTTATCTTTCATATAAAGAAGAAACTATTCGAGCAAAGTCTTCCCTTTGTTAGCAGAGCATTAAAAACAACGATAGTCTCCATATATACAAACATGATATTTAAGTATATAATATATACATATATCAATCGGCTCTTTTTTTCATCGTGCCACAAATTCCGTTGCACTTCTGTAAAAAACTTGCAGTCCGAAGCTTCTTTTGCAGTTTGCGGAAAGTCTTCGGTGCGCGCGGTTCACAATGCGTATACGCACTGCTGGTCTATTCCTTCTGTTTGTCCTGGCCAACAGCGATCCTGGCCTAACGGGCGATGTCTACTTGAGCTGCGATGAGTTCGAGCAGCACATGTATATGGATGCCAGCGATGCCTTCTGCACAGTCACGGGCTTCGTTGTGACCCACAGTCAAAATATTGTGGTCAAGAACATTCTGGCCGGCAACATGGTGAAGTTCATGAAGTTCTACGACTCGACGCTGCTGTCGGTGCCCTTTCGTCTGTTCGAGACGTTTGCCCACTTGAAGACGCTGGACGTGTCCTATACGAGCATCCTAGAACTGACGCGCAACACTTTCAGCGCTGCGAGCAATTTGTCGTATTTGAATCTGAGCTACAACAATTTGACTTCCGTGCAGACGTCTGTGTTTATCGGGGCCAATGCTCTGATGCGCCTGGACTTATCGTACAACCGCATTTCGCAGCTGAGCGAAAATGCGTTTTGCGGGCTGCACAACCTCAATAAGCTGCAGCTGACGGGCAACCGATTGACCGATCTGCACAAGGACATCTTCAAGGACAACGAGTATTTGGAGTCGGTCTCGTTTGAGAGCAATCTGCTAACCTTCATCCAGCCGGAGGTCTTCAATCGCATGCGCCGCATCAAGGAGGTGAATCTATCGAACAACAAGCTCATACGCATTCATCCCGATACGTTCACGGAGGCTGCCAGCCTGGAGAGCCTCCTGCTGGCTATCAACTCACTGGACGCCTTTCAGTTGACCAACAAGAATATTGTCCATCAGCTTCATTTGGATTACAACCACCTGACCAACCTCACGATCAACGCCACTCGATTCGTGCGCGCTAACTACAACAACATCAGCTCGATTCACATGCACCAGGCGCTGCAGCTGGAGACACTGGAGCTGCGAGGCAATCGACTGGCGAGCATGGCGAATATAACAAATCTGACTGCTCTGCTTCATCTGGATCTCTCCTACAATCCCATCGGATCCCTGACTGTCAGCACCTTTGATCAGCTGAAGCGGCTGAGGAATCTCTATCTGCGTGCCACTGGCGTGCGCGAGCTGCAGTTTGGCATGTTCTCCAAGCAGAAGTTCTTGGAGATACTCGATCTGTCGTTCAACAACCTGACCAACCTCAATCTGGATCTATTTGTGCCCTATCTCACGAACCTCAAGCAGTTCTTCGTCGATGGCAATTYGCTGACCGAGGTRCAGGGCAATCGCAGCTTCGCCCAGGCCTTTCCCTTGCTGCAGAAACTGGGCATCTCGAGGAATCGCTTCAATTGCTCCTATCTGCACCACCTGCTGATACCGCCCTACCTCACAGAGACCGTGACCCTGCACATCGAGCCGGATAACAGCACTGACGAGACGCCTCACATACGCGATGTGTCCTGCATTAGTCCATCCAAGCAGGGTGCCATCCAGGAGGAGCCCACACAGTCATTGCACAATCAACTGGAGCTGCTGCGCGCCCACTCACGAAATCTCGAGCTCCACTTGCACTTCATGAAGTTCTTCCTGTGTGTGCTGGGCGCAGTGATCCTCATATCCTTGGTGGCTTTGATACTGTTGCGCTGGCGCAAGGTTCAACGTTCAGGTCGCTACAATCGCAGCAGCATAGTCTTCCATTCGAATGGCACAATGGAAGCCTAGTATCTCGATAGCATATAGCCAAAATCAGAAATAAGCTTAAGGAAACGCAGTTATAAATATAAATATAAATATATATATTTCTTATATTTGATAAGACAACCAGGAAACCTTTTAGAGCAAACAACCAAATGAAGGGGCAGATAAAAGACCTCGACTCAAACTTCCTGCTGGCAGTTGAGATAATTGCCAGGCAAAGACCTTGAACAGAGCCCCGACTACTGTCTATATATGTACATATATATATATATATATGGTATACAAGATAAAATGAGTAAAAACAATTGGATTCCGAGGTTCAGTTTTGTTTATTCATATTCAATTTTTGCAGATGTGTTTTGCCGGGTCGTCTTTATCTGCCTACTTCCTGAGGTACAGAGGAGCGGTGTAGGCAGCAGCGTAGGACGATGCAAGATACGGGGATGCCACATAGGGGGAAGCCACGTACGACGATGCCACATATGGAGATGCCACATAGGGAGATGCCACGTACGACGATGCCACATAGGGCGCGGAGTAGGCCAGTGGAGCCACAATTCCTGGCTTGGCTGCAGCGCAGGCAATCAGAGCGAAGACGGCGAGGATGATTGACTTGAACATCTTGAGTTGCTTAGTTTGTTGGTTGAACGGAACTGATGATGATAGCTGCTTGAGCCAGGGCTTTTATACACCAGCCAGCTAATAGGTAGAGCCTTGGCGCAGACATCGTGCTGGCCCAGCTAATGAGCCAAGCGGGGCTAAACCTACAAATTATTTAAGTCACTTATGCACATAAGTGCCAATTGGACTGGCTACGTGCAATGCCTGAGCAATTGGCCAAGAGAATACACCATGCACATTGGCCAAGGTCGTTACGAAATGGTTGAGTCAAATTTGCGTATATAAGCCATGGCTCGACACTGGATTGAGCATCAGTTACATTTGTTTCATCAACAACCGTAAACCAACCAACCAACAAACTAAAAATGTTCAAGTTCATCGCTGCTGTGATCCTCGCTCTGGTCGCCTTCGCTGCTGCTAAGCCAGGAATTTTGGCTCCTCTGGCTTACTCCGCACCTTATGTGGCATCTCCGTACGTGGCATCATCGTACGTGGCATCCCCCTATGTGGCATCTTCCTATGTGGCATCTCCATATGTGGCCTCGCCGTATGTTGCCTCTTCCTATGTGGCTTCGCCCTACGCTGCGGCCTACACAGCCCCTCTGCTGTTGAAGAAGTAGACGACTCACTCACTGGATATGAAAAATTGATCATAATTTACGGCGGAAATAAAATGTTGGGAACATAACTTAAATATTTGCATTTTTATTTAACGGCAGCCTAAAAGTTAGCTACACTATTATGATGAAGCTTAACCCTTGGGAAATACAAGTATAAGCACAATAATGAATAGCGGACGTTAGCGGTATCACATATTACTGAAAACGATTATTCGAGAACTAACCAGAGACTCAGCCATCACTTAGTCATTCTCCATTTTATTTAAAGACGCCATGAACGTCTTACGTAATGAGTCAATGCGATAAAGTAATTGAAACGTTTATCTCTTTCTTTCATACGTTACCCTTAGTCCAGGCGATTAGGATTCGTTTTTATTTCTTCACGCCACCATTTGTCCTCTACACACGGTGAGCTACGTTCGGCTTGAGAAAGAAGAAAACAAATAGTCCTATTGTCTTCCCTTTCATTTACACATACGTGCATGCAATCTTTCACAGTCCAGACGATCAGGAGAGAGAACGAAAAAAGTACCGTTGGACTCGCAGTAGTGCTGCGCCTGTCATGCTAGTTATTTGTTGCTGTTGCCAGAATGATAACGCATGCTTCTCTCCTTTTTTTTTTGGCAAAATGGAGAACGTTGTTGTTGCTTTGCAAATTGTTTACTACTGCCAATGGGAAGAATCATATTTGCGTTTCAATTTTTAAGAGCAACAATTCTTTTATTGGAGTACTTTCTCCGAGACTTTATTACTATAAATATAATATATCATACTTTAAGCTGGTCTCCCAATAGCAAAGGAGTTGGTGTTCATGAAATTAAATGTAAACGCAAGATTAAGCGTAAGGTTCCCAAATCGATCCAATAGCGGCTTGTAATAAAATGGAAATGAAAAGGGCGGCTTCTTTTTTTTMTTCGAGGTATTGTTTGACTGCAGCAGATGATTGAAGCTGTTCAGCAGTTGCTGCATTTCTAGTAATAAATCCCTGCCCTGCACAGCTCCAAGTTGCGTCTCCCTCTCTTCTGCAGGTAAGAGAGGCAGCAACTGCAGTTGACTAGCAGTGGGTTGAGCCATGCGCATCGCAGGCGTGAGCACATACAGATGGAGAGGCACGGCGTATCGCGATTGCAGCACCACAGTCACAGTCACAGTCCACASTATCCGAAAGAACTGCGCCAAAGATGAAGCTACAGATGTGTCTACAAAATAAAAGACGCCTACTTACTGACCAGGCCATTCCGCTGGCTGTAAACTAACTACTGCAGCTGGCGGCTGGTGCCTCGACTTTTATAGGCGCAGCATTAAACCCCCAAGAGTCCCAATAAAAAAGGCATTTAGCAGACTTTCCAATCAAGCTCAAAGAATTTATTTTATTTCAGGCCTTTCGCCTTGGATGACCGCTGCTCATTTAAAGCCAGCCGTAGCCACGTCCAATGGGCCGCACAATGCTGTGTGTGGGCCAAATGGGGCGCACCACCTGCACCGTCTGCAGCGTCTGTCCCGGCCAGCCCAGGTACGAGGAGCTGCCCAGAATCGGTGTGGCATGCAGCAGTCCAGGTGCCGCATAGGCAATCGCCACGCACAGCGACAGCAAGACCAACTGCCAAATGTACATGCAAATTAAAAATGAACTGAGGAACAACGTCAACTGCTACCCACCAGCTTGTACATGTTGAGGGCGTTTGGATAGTGAGCAGAACAGAACTGAAACTCGTTGCGTAGCTGTCAGAAGACTCGTTGATTAGTTGCACAGACTGCAGCATTTATATAACAAGTGGCAAGCAGCAGCAACTATGAGCGATGGCCGATGCTCTATGGACTGCATGCAATCCAACGCTCGACCTTCGTGCTTTGAGATCTTAGCCGGCTTTGTTTAGTTATTTGGTCCAGCTCACATTTCATAAGTGAATGACTTCAGTTCGCTCAACTCGTGTTACACACTACTYAACCGCCAGGCCAAAACTTGCAGCACTTTGCTCTATTCAGCTGCGGCTTCGACTACATTTTTGTGTGCCATGGACGTTGGGCGGAGAAGCGCATTAAAGATCATTGGACACAGTACAATACTAAAAGAGTTGAGTGAATTGCACAAATGTACGCCTATATATTGGGATAAAGCTGTTTAAAGTCTAGGAAATCACAGTTGAAATTTAATAAGAAATTAACTCAATAGGCCCAAAGATATCCCAAATTGCCATTTAATTTATGCCACACGAAGGTAAAGGAAGCTGCGCATTTGCTTTCAATCAACACCATCAACACCATCAACAAGAACAACAACATCTGAGCAGAACTGACCAAAACAGTAAATACTTCGCAGAAATATATTGAATAATAAGTACGATGTATACATATATACAAAGGACTTTAATTGAGTAATGTGGTAGGCGTTTGTTTTCGGACCTGCCTGAGATTGAGGCCAACGCAGGGAACCGCAATCGGAAAACAAAGCGCTGCGCACTTGGTAAACTTCCCACATTTTGAGTACGATTTCAAGGACAGATATGTAAATACGCCCGCCGAGGCGGAAGCTGTAGCTGACCTTGAAATTCATCAATGCGAGTGAACACGCCCACTTACACCTTACACCTTATTTGTTGATTTTGGGCCAACGTGAAGCAAAACAAGCGAAAAAATTGTCAACATCGAAGAGCAAAATATTTACCATTTGCAGAAACCATGTCCAGAAACTGTCAAGGAATGGAAAGGGAAATGGAAATGGACTTGAAATGAACTGTTCAGATCGAAAAGAAACACTGCGAATGAGTGAGAATGACTGAGGAAGCGAGCAACTAGTTGCATGTGACTGCATAGCAATCCCAAGTTATTTAAGCCAACGATCAGTGCTCCGTCTGACTGGGAAGACGGAGAACATGTTCAACTCCTTATACTCTGCATGCATCAGAGAGAAGAGAAGGGTATGTAAGACTGGTTAAGGGTAAGGTATTGTATATTGTAAGCTAAACTGTAAGAGTTAAGAACTTTGCGCTATCGACAATTGAGAAAATTTGACATCACATATACAGAAAATCCCTGAGTATCATATAAAACCAGCCCAACTCCATTAAAAGTGTTCCACAATAGGGTATCCCACTGTATTSACTTCACCTTCGTTTAGTCCAGCTTCTCTTACGTCTACTTTGTCTCCTTTGGACTGCAGTCAATCGATCTGTGAAGCACATTTGCAATTGCAGCTCCATTCAAAGTGAGTTAAGGGCTTCTTTCAGAGCTGCCGCCCCAAAGTTCTTTGACCTTGTAGTGGACTCAGAAACTGCAGCCTATAAAAGAGAACCACGCGACTCACCCAGCATTCAGTTTGTGTACAGAACAGGACCATGAAGTTGGTAAGTTACGCGTGAACGATTGAGCAAGCGATTAAAGTGAAGCGATTGAAGAAGCTAGGCCAAGCTAGTAAAACTATAAAGAGAATTGACTTAAGCTAAAGTGAATTATTTTCATCTATTAAGAGGAAATCGAGTAAAGGGCAAAGCTTAGAGCAAACGTCGTATAAACGCYTCAAGAAGCATTGAACTACTGYTGAGAAGTCGACAAAACTAGCAAACGAAGCTGAGCAAATTGTCATTTAAGAAAGCGTAGAGAAAGAGACTAGCCCGGGGATATATAGAGCCTAAAGAGCAAGAATTAAATATGTGAATATATGTACAACAAATCGGAGCTGAAAAAGAACTCTCACATTTATTATATACATGTGTCTTTCGGTATTATTAAAGTCGCTCGTGATTGGCTTGCAACAGTATTAGTGAGAAGTTACGAGCTTGCATATATTTCTGTGAAAATATCCAATCATTTGTGTAAGTGAGGGAGAGAAAGACAAATGTAGCTGAGCGTAGTTCTAGGCGTTGCTGAGTGGGAGAGAGACAACTAGATGACTATTTAGGCATTTCGGCATTGATCGTTTTGATTTCGGTGGCCGAAGAGAACACGAGTAGAAGTTTGAAAAAACAAGTGGAGAAGAACCGTAATTAGAGTTTTTAGCATAATTCTAAAATGAGTATAATTATTAATTTAAAATAAAAGTTATATGTATATGTAAATGCATATTAAGTAATACAACTATTATTATTTTGCAGCTCATTATCTTTGCTTGCCTGCTGGGCCTCGCACTCAGCCATGAGGTGCTCTACACGCCTGGCTATACCTACTATAGCGCACCTGGACTGGCCTATGCCTTGCCTCTGGCCTACACCCGACGCCTCATCTCGCCGGCCTTACAGTCGCAGGTGTATCACAGCGTGGAGACAGACAACTCCTATCAGCAGCAATATCGTGCTGACTACAAGCCGCTGACCTATGAATATCTCTTCTGAAAAAAGGGGGAAATAATTAAGCGTGAAATTTGAATAAAGTGTATCAGCCCGAATATTCTCCATTTTTCGTGTTAAATTGTATTCACATTGTCTGAGGCGAATGCGTCAAAACAATTTCCCTACCTAGAGTGTCTGCCCTCTGGTCTATTGAACTTTCAGCTATTGGCCTCGACACAAGCGTCAACAATTCATGCCCAGGCATCAACAATCAACCAACAACCATCAGGCATCAGGCAGAGGACAGTGCACACAATAGCTTCATAGTTTTAGCAATATCATATGAACCCGTCGCACCTTGAACCCCACCTCAAAGTGACGTTTAAAATAAATCATCAGTGATCCCATAGGAAGCGTCGACCAATTGGAGGCGTGCACCACCACGTCACAGCCCATCGAGCACTACCAGCAACAGCGCCAGCAGCCGCCGCACTGCACATGGAAGCCGTACCAATTGCAGTGGAATAAATCCACCGTAGAGCTAAAACACGCTCGTCTGATTTCTGATTTTCCGTTTTTGCTTCGGAAACTTTTGCGTTTTGCTTTCAGCACGTCCAAAAACGTGACCAGCCGCTGGTCACATGGATATGTGGGTGTCTGGAGCGCAATACGCACGCAAATACCGTACGCGAAGACCGAACCCAACCCGTACAAAATAATCGCATAAATTAATTAATGTTTGATTGCTTTTCATACACTAACCAAAGTAATCAACAGACGAAAGTGTCTCAGGACTATTGCAAGCATTTTGGGACAGATTCAAAGAGATTTAATTAAAGTCTAGCTTTATTAAGAATTATACCTTAAGATTTTGGTTAAGGTTCAGGTAAGATAAGGACATACTTATATATAAATCATTATATCTATTATTCGTTGATATACATTTTATTCAAATTCAAATTGTTCCACTACATATATATAATGTTGAGCTTGAAATCAATTCAAATGCGAGTAAAATTTTATTTAAGAGACATGAGAAAGGAGCTGCTTCAGCTTAAGGAGTGAGTATGAGTAAAATGTATTCAAATATTCTTGGGTTAAGGATTCCAAATCAGATACAGAAGATTTTCAACTGTTCAATGCACAGAGCAAATATACGCTCTTCACTTGGACAACGCTTGCAATAAGTGAGAGCATCAGCAAGTCGACTTATCGAAATGTATCATAATGTTTTCTTACGCAACCACAGCCCGGTGTCCAGACATAAGCCTCATGCAAAGCAATGAGAGCTTGTTAATCTCAATTGATTCTTGTACGATATCTGTTTCAGCAGCTAAACAAGTTTTGCATATAAGAAGGCATAGAAGACGAAGTGGAGAAGAAGAACTTCCAGTGAACCGCAAATGMGCATGCAAAGCCAAAATGCAAAAGGCAAGCGCTAATGGCAGCCAGCCCAGCAGTCCAAGGCTAGATAGGCTCACAGATAGACAACTCTCAGAAATCTCTCTGCAATCGCACAATTTCCACAGAACGCAACGCAAAGAAACTGCGCAATTATGCACGGATATGCAATTCCCTGGATTCATTGGCAGCATTGCTCACATCTGGGGCCAAGAACTATTTCCTAGTAACAGACGAATTGGATTTCTGGCCCCCCAAGGCAAAAGGCAATGAGCCTGACCACCTGCCTAAGTAGCCAGCGTCTGAGAGACATTAGCACCTTGGCTTTGGCGTAGTGTTTAATGTCGTCCTTGGAAAATTCTCGCAACAGTTGCGAGTCGAGTTGSTATCTCTAGAAATCCAAACAATGCTGAGCTGCTCACGAAATCCCAATCGCAGGCAGGTGCCAACAGGTGAGCCAATCTGCAGCTACGTGACATTGTCTTGTGTATATACATACATATGTTTCTAAAGCGGCGAGCGACCTTGACAGCATACACTAAGGATATCTCAGCGACAGTTGGCAATGCAATGAAACGGGCACTGAGGACAAAGTGTGGACTTAGGTAAGCGGCACGCACTGAAATTTAGTCAAGTGGCAAGCTGATTACATCGAATGCGCCCTATTTATAGGTGCAATGGTGTTCTATTCCTATCAGAGGCAACAGCACCAGCAGCACCAGCAGCAATTGGAGCACGAGAGCCAACAGCCATCTCAAGTGCTGCATGCATAACCGCGATGCGTGCCAGCAACGTGCGAGTCGCAACAGGAGCCAAAGKCAAGTGAAGAGAATTGCAGCCAAGCAGASACACACAGAATTAGCCATGAGAGGGCTGACTAATGGAGCCTTTATGTAAAGCCAAGTGTTGAGCAGCATATGAGCAAGCTGGTAAGCTAACTGGTTGGACTTGATTAGGGCGAACGAAGGGTAAACTATTTAAATGAGCAGAATCATTCGAATGGATAGACAGAGGGAGTAGAAAGGGGAGACAGGTAAAGAAGGTAGGGTGTTATATGAGTACATCTAAATGATATGCTAGTGCTCAGAATTATATTTATTTATATATATGTATATCTGCCTATGAATCTGTGCCTTGATTTAGCTAATTAACTGCAGCTAAGTAGCAGTAGAAGACTTCACTGTATTCATAATATGAATTTCATGTATAAGTATATTTATATGATGATAAATGTTTCATTTACGGCTATTGGGAGTTGTTACTGTTTTATTATAGATTAATTAAAGTAACGCCAAATTTTGTGTTTTTTCGATTTATGTATAATTTTTGTTAATTATGTTAAATATACTACTTCGATCTATGATTCAACGAAAAAGTAATTTTTCAATCTATATTTTACCATTAAAACTTTATTAATTTCAATAAATAATCTATGTTTTATTTGCCTTTGAAGTTGAAAAATAAAAAAAAAATAAAAAACAAGTAAAATAAATAATAAAA